TTTTACTAGACATTAAAATAAAGGTAAATAATTTGTTTATTTTTTTTTTTACATCAATTATTTACATATACAAATGAGTCTATATCTGTTTGTATTTATTTATATGTATAATAATTTTAATTTCAATTATTTACATATACAAATGAGCTTATATCTGTTTATATCTATTTACATGCATAATAATTTTAATTTAATTTAAATTATAGCAATTTCAAATAATGCTTATACATTGAAAATATTTCAAAAGCGTAGAACTTTTGTTTTTAAAAAAAAGAGAAACATGTGTACTTTAACAAGGGAATATCTTACGGAATTTTAAAATTTTAAAAAAATTTTCAAATAAAATATTTATAGTTTAAAAAAAAAGAAGCATGCAACTGCAGCAATAGTTTGTTTGGATTTGGTATATTTGAAGTAAAAATGAAATGATATATTGTAATATATAAATGTTTTACAAAATCTGATAAACTATTTAATGACACTTGGATTGTTTTATTTTTATTTCAGATTTTTCCAGTTTTTTTTTTGATTATTAATATTTAACAGTGTGATTTTTTAATTCAGCACTAATCTCAAAAATTTTTTAGCATTATTTCCGGAAAAATAACATATTCATCGGTAAATGCTAAATGAATTTCTACATTTGAGTAATTAAATAAATGTAATTAATTGAAAGAGGCCACTAGTTAACAAATTGATCAATATCTTATTCACAAACAACGAAAACTTTTCTGCAAGATCTTACAATCAAATTCTTCAACCTAATTAAGGTTAATGAATTTGAAAAGTGATGAAATTGCCATGGAATGATTTCCATGTCACAATTTTTTTATCTTTTTTTTTTCTTTCTTTCTCCTTCAATGCTTCAAGAAATCGATGATTACTTTCTTTTAACACTACTAAAATGCAAATATTACACTTCTATAAGTGTATAAATTATAATATAAACTTTGGGAGAAAATTTTTCTAATTTTCAAAAAAAAAGTTAAAAATTTTCCGCTCAAAAAAAACTTTTAATATTTGAAATGAATTTTGCTTTTTTTTTATAAAAAGACAAATAAGCAGTATAATTTATCAAACTTTTTTTTTTTCTTCATTCCTTCAAACAATGGCAAAAAAAAAAATGTATGAAATAAATCAATAATTGAAAAATCAATAATTCCTATATTTTAACATTATCAATAGCATTTGGTAAGAAAGAAAAAAAAAGCAAAAAAGAAAAATTATTAACAAAGTAGTATTGTAACTGCTGCAAAATTTTTTATTCTTCAATTTATCTATTTAGTTTATTGAAAAAGAAAGAAAGGAAGAAATAAAAACGAAAATTTGAAGCAAAGTATTATTAAAGTGGAAAGCTCATCGTTGCAAAATTAATTGCGATGCACATTTGCGCTGAAGTACACAAAACTAATTGTTAGCGCATAAGAAACACTTTTTTTTTTTGCTTCCCTATTTATTTCGGAAAAAAAAGCATGAGATACGAAAATGTCAGATGATTATTG